CAAGATAACAAAAATTATCATCCAGATCTGAATCTTTACCTGTTTTTTGACTGATTTATCAGTTATTGGGAGAGTGGTATTAGCATATTCAACTATTTCGTTTCATTTATTTTGAAGCCAGATAATGAGATGCATTCACGTTTATTGTGTTTTTGTCAATATATTGACCCTGCTATGGAACATTTCCATCTTTATCTCAGTACAAGTTCTTTTTCTTGAAATGTATTGTATCTGCTGTTAATACAGACCTCAGTTTCTTATGGTTAATGCTTATAATTTATCTTTTTCTATCTTACAAATCTTACTTTATTTGTTTCAGCATTTGACCTTTTTTTTGGTACAGGACATAGAGTTAGATCTTTATTTTTTGTCTTTTATGAGTTTATTTTACTTACATTAATGTAATTATTTGTATTACTGAGTTAAATCTTTCAAGCTATTTATTTCAACTAATCTTTTGTTCCTTTATTCTACCTTTCTTTCCTTGTTTTAAAATTAAAAAAATTAAAATCAATTTTACTTCAACTGTTGACTCTTACCCATACCTCTGTATTTTTACTCGATCATTCAGATTTTGTTTTATTTTGGTGGTTCAGATTTTCATTGGTATTACCATAGCCACTCACTTTTAACCTTTCATAGTTTAAAGTTGTTATTGCTTTATATGAACCATAGGAAATTTGCTTTACATGAAGATAGTTCCATTAACATTACTTTCCTTTCCTTTCCCCCATGACCAACTGCACCGTTGAATCTTAGAGCTAGTGATTTGAAAAACATGTGAGGTGCTTGTATGTGTGTGCCCAAAATGCTGAGAGGAGACACGGAGGAGGAGAAGGGCTTGTGGCGTGACCATTTCCCATGGAGAGTGCTTTCTCACTTTCCATTTTTCTCTCTCTCTCTCAAACAAGTGCAAATGTCCTATAGCAAATTAAAAACAAAATAAACAAACAAAAAAAATCCTATAAAGTTCCTGCCTACTTGGGTATTCTCTAATGTTTTTAAAATACTTTTTACAGATTAATTATTGTTATTTATAGAAGAGTTTAGCCAAGCTATTTTGCATTACTGTAAGCTGGGGACTCCTTCAGTTCACTTTGCCTTTCTTCTTCTTTCTAAAATTTTACTCATAATAGAGAGCATTTGTAAGAGAGAGAGGAAGAGAAAGAAAGAACTTTACCTTTCCCCAGCCCTCCAGTTCCTAAGGCTCCTGGGCACTTGTGTACATGCCAGGCATGTTTCTGGCCGACCTGAGGATCTGAACTTGCAACCAGTCACTTGGCCTCCAGCTCTACAGTTCAGTTGGTTATTGACTATGCCACCAAGCTAGGTCTGCCTTTTTTTTTTTAATGAGTCCTTTGCAGCCTTTTAAAATGTTAACCACCTCTTTGAGAAGTAGGTTATCAGTGAATAAAGTATATAACATTGTATTGCATCTTCAGTTTATGAGGAAGTTTTATACATATTTGTTCTCTTTTAGATCTTGACCCAGTCTAGTTAGAAGCTGATTCTAGGCCCTGTGCATTTCTTACAACACCAAAACCATCTCCAAAGGGACTCTTTGTTTTATAACTGAGGGCTCCCCAGTTATGCCCTGTTCATAAGAAATGCATGGCTGGATGTAGTTGAATGGAAACAGGAAAGGGGAAGACTTCTCAGGGCTGGGCAAGCACAACTGGACAAGTTCTGCCAATTCCCCTTGATTTTCGGCAGATGGAATTTCTGGAATCTGTGTATTTGTTCCCCTGCCATTCTCTGGTGCCCCAGAGGCTTATACAGTAATACCTGATTAATAGAGTTTCCCAGACCGTCACTGTGGTTGTCTTATCTGCAGATTCAGACACAGAGAAGGCATGAACACAACATGGACCTGGCACAAGGTAAGGACCCTTGAGGAAACTGTCTTGGCCACAGCGATTGGTTCTGGATGTGTAGCCAGGCAGGAAGGCATACAGCCCAGAGAACTTGGCAAACTTGAAATGTACCAGGCCTGGATGAGCACAGGTGTGTAGGGGTATGATGGTGAGAGACATGTAGGAATCCCCTGGTCATAATCGCAGAGAAGTGAGCTATAACCCAGACAGGACCCCAGAAAAATCAGGGCCTTGCCATATAACCCTGATGACAGTCTCGAGGGGCCTGGCATGCCCGGTGGAGCCAAGAGTGGGGCTTTCTTTCAACTCATTGCTCAATGTCAGGCCCTATGCCAGGTAGTGGTGTGTGTGTGTGTGTGTGTGTGTGTGTGTGTGTGTGCTCTTCATCTGATTAAGCAAACATCCTGATAACTGAGTCAATCCATAGAAGGAGCCCTGCATGAAGGAGACATTCAGGGGTCTGACCAGGCCTGGATGAGCACAGGTGTGTAGGGGTATGATGGTGAGAGACATGTAGGAATCCCCTGGTCATAATCGCAGAGAAGTGAGCTATAACCCAGACAGGACCCCAGAAAAATCAGGGCCTTGCCATATAACCCTGATGACAGTCTCGAGGGGCCTGGCATGCCCGGTGGAGCCAAGAGTGGGGCTTTCTTTCAACTCATTGCTCAATGTCAGGCCCTATGCCAGGTAGTGGTGTGTGTGTGTGTGTGTGTGTGTGTGTGTGTGTGTGTGTGTTTTCTCTTCATCTGATTAAGCAAACATCCTGATAACTGAGTCAATCCATAGAAGGAGCCCTGCATGAAGGAGACATTCAGGGGTCTGCCCAGTGGGGTTAAGGCTAATATTGCAACTTCATCACAAATTTACGACAAGCCTCTAAAATTTCTATCCTAGATGTGTGTTCATTTGAAGTGATCCTTCTATTCACTGGCCTTTCAGTTTGCCCATGCCATGAGTTGATTTTCTGGTCCTTCTGGGTTACTGGCAGCTAGAGGAAGCATGGGCTGCTATTCTCCTTGGCAGTCACTATTTGTCCAGAGCTGGACTGATGCTCTCACAAGCTTCCAGTCTGACTTAGAGGGCACTTATGCACCCACTGTCCAGTGAGCATTCCCAGTGAACCTGTCCAGAAGGCTGGGGTTTGCTCCAGAACAGTAATTCTGACATATCCAGAAGGCAATGAGAGATTATTAGACTGCCAAGTGCCTCTGCAGGCAGAGAGTAGTATACTAGACCCATTTACCAATTTTTCAGAGAAGTCCTAGGTAAGACATTACTGTCCCAAGGATATTTCTTTGTCACTTTGCTGTATCTGCACAGATGACCAGATCCACTAGAAGCTTGACCTAGGAACTCCTGTGAATTGGTCATCACTGGATGTCTATTTGTTCCCATTGAGTTTGTTCTGCATGCACACTGGACAACCCTGACGACCTCTATATACTGTGTATTTTGTGTGCTAAGCTCACTCCTAATTTCATTTTTCTCTCTATTACCATTAAAGCTTTCATTTTTCTCTTTGTTCCACTTTTCTCATCTACTTAGCTTAAATTCAGTTTTACCTATTGTTATATGGAATGTATTTAGATAATCCACCTTAAATCCTTTCTTGAAAAAAGGTATAAATAAATAAACAGGCAAATAGACAAACATAATCTGTGTGAGATAGACTTGGGTTTCATATGATAGTAAGCATTTTTCTCCATAGTTCTAGGCAGCAAAGAAAACTGCACATGAATTTTAAGCACAGGTAGATTTTCTTCTGTTCCTATGGTGGTTCAGTTTTGGAGATGATGGTACGGAGTTGAACCTTTTGCTGGAACTTCTTTAGTGGGAGTATTTGTGCAAAAGAAGTTATCAAATGTTACCAGCCTGCTATTTAGTGCTGCTCTTCTTTCCCCCAAATTTGAATTTGAAGGAATAAAATTGTCTTTTGAGATTTACATTACATTATAGATCAGAATAGAGAGTGGTAAAATTCTGGGCAGTGAGACTGAAGTGAAGACAATGCCAGGGAGCTATAGTGATTTACTTAACTAGCTTATGTGCATATGTGGTCCCATCTTATTTGTGTTTTAAATTAAAAGCATGTACATGGTCAGGTTAGCTCTCTAGGATGAGGGTGGAGTATGGTCCCCTCTTCTTTCTCTGGATTTCCCAAGAGGTTTGGTGCTTACTCAGTTGAAAAAGGACCTTGCTGGTTCCAAGTACCTCATGGAGTGATGCGGGAAATAGGAACAGTTCCCCATCAGACCCAGTTTTCTGATGTCTGCTTTTGTGAGTGCCATGCTACACATAGGTGATACTAAGTGGCTTATCTACTGTTGAAATATCTCACTGCTATTGCAGAGTGTATATGTATAAAGATAGAAGTTGGCCTTCTGCAGTGCTACCGTAACCTGTGGTCAACATAAACACACTAGCTCCTGATGTTTTCTTTAGGTTCCCAGAGGAAAGATCATCTTAGTTCCTCAGTACTGAACTTGGAGGAGTGCTTCTCACCTGACTTTCCAACTCTGTAGCCCTATAGATTCATGTGCATGGTAACTTCTTCAGGAGCATTGTCTCTCTCAGTAGGGTCAGGGAGGACCAGTTCTAGGATCTGCCTTGCCTAACACCATGTCTATTTCCCTTTCTCAGGTAACAGAGATGCAAAGAAACAGTGCATTCTTTGGAACAGGGAATAGACAGCCAGGTGGGGAAGCAGGATAAATAAGTCACAAGGGTAAAAATGTGGGCAGTACCTTTCAGAATATGTCCTTGAAAAATGGCCAGTGGATTTGGAGGGGCATTGCACATTACATGGGGGTAGGAACCATCCTGTTGATTTAAATTTCCTGGTAAATAGTTGTTGACCCAGTGGGAAGGCCACTTTCAACATGGCAGTGGATATACTGTGACCTCTCAGAGCCAGATGTTGTTCAACATTTAAATACATATGCTCTTCTGATTCTGCTCTTTCCATGCTGCCATCTGCTTGTGATTAGGCTTCTGTGTAGGTTGTCTGTAGGGAGAGACTATGTGGGTTCTGCCATCCAGATTGTTCTGGTCTATGTGACAGTTTTCTCTCTCATCAAAAGTTTTAAATAGACATGATTTATCCTTCAAAATCTTGCTAGTTTAGAAGCTACATGTCTATTTTTCAGAGTTTTATCAGCTCTATCAATTTTTGGATCAACTAGATAGTAGGCATATCCTAGTGTATGGTACATTCTCCAAGATGCTCCCACTCTGTGACACCACTCTAAATTCATTCAACCTTGCCCTGGTTACAGCCCAGTCTTAGTGTAGGCCTTATCCAAGAGAGCATAACCAGGAGTGAAATAACTAAGCATTAAAAACAAAAGGAAATTGACAGCAAACTGCCTACCAAGATAAAAGAAAAACTACAAAACAAAATGAGCAGCAAAGCAGCCCAGAGATGAAGAACAATAAAAGGCAGGAGGTTGAGGGACAGTGGTGGAGGGAGTATTGCCAGAGTTCAGGAACCAGTGCTACCAGTTATGAGCTGGAGCCATGGAAGGGACATCACTCCTAGATAATCTTCCTTGACCAGAGAGAGAGAATTTAGGAGAAATATTCTGGCTTATCTATTCCACCTGCTCTTTAATTTCCCACCATTGTTTCCCACTGGCCAAGCTCAGCTGGAAGCCAGCTCACACAAGTACTGGGGATGTGCAGGCTTCAGATTCAGGCCCAAAGGATGCTGCTTTATCAGGAGCAGAGCAGGTGAAGGACAAGGGACCTGTCCTGATGGCCCACTTTGCTGTTCTCTTATCACATTGCTGAAGGGTATTCACCTTCTAGAACAAACCAGTGTTACTTTGAATAATCCATTGGGGCTATTGTTCTCAATGGTAAGGAGACTGCTGGTAAAGATAACAGAACAAGAAAAGCACTGTCTCTCAATTCTCAGGTCAAGCTATTAGAGAGATTTTGCATCTGAGACCTTTTCACTGGTTCTGAACAGCTGGAGAACCTGGGCTTGCCTAACCCTAATACCTTTCCTGTGAGCTGATATCTTTAATGTGCTATTCCTCAGCAGGATTATAATGATTTTCAACTTCTAATGGAATTCCTACTTTTAATTTTCTTTTAAAAGGAACAATAATAGCATTTTCCCCATTTGAACAGTCTTAGATGGTAAAGGACCTAGTTAGCATTTATCACATGCATTTTCTCTAACTCTCACAATAACACTGTGGAGTAGGCACTAATATCCCCAATTTACAGATGATGATTTAAGCCTGAAAGAAGTGACATAATGAGTTCAAAGTCACATGGCTATCATTATGTATTTGTATTTTATACCTTATCTTGTTCTACAAAGAGGATTTCAAGGGATTCACGTAACGAGTAAGAGATGGAATTGAAATTAAAACACAGGTCTTTGCTCTTACACTATAATGAGATGCTCGTCTTGCTCTACGGTATCAGAATACTAGGCCAAAGAGAATTCTAAAGGTTGAATACTTCTGCTTTCTCCTTTGCCTATGTTTTAAGGGTGGAATCACAAGTTCTACAGCCAAATAAAAGTCTTAAAAATATCATCTGACCTCTTGGAAACTAAATAATCTTTCTTCCTTCAATTTGGAAACTGAGACTTAGAAAGGTTAAGAGCCACATGTAAAATCACATATGGCACTATTATTGCTGTGGGATATTTTGTAGTTGCAAGTTAAAAAGAATTCTTGATCTGTCTCTATCCAGGAAAATGTTCACTGTTTTGGGACCCAAATTTTCTCTTTGTGTACTGGCAAGCCTGGTTTTGACCCATGAAGAAATCATGGAAAGCAAGATGGAAATTCTTTCATGCAAAGCACCATATTATAGTCAAGCTGGATTTGGATAATCCTGAGATAGCCCCATCCCTGCTCATGTTTCCTTTGTGATGTTGAATGGATAGGATGAGAATAGTCTCATTTGCTCAGGATGAAGTCAAAACCTAACGTTAAAAGAGACTGGACATGATTCTTAGACGGTTTACTCTTCATTTAAATACC